AGCGAATCTTAGATGGTTAGGATATTCTCCATCTATACTTAATCCTTTGTTGGCCCAGTCGAGTTGACGAAAGAATCGTGATGATATATTTGTTGTATTTTTAACTTTTTTTTTAGTGAACTTAATCAACGAGAATATAACCTGCAATGGTTCAAAAAACTAGATTCTAAAATAATTTAAATGAACATTTTTGTACGTGGAAAACCCTGTAACATTCATGTGTTTTTAATAGTAATTCTGTTGAAGATTGAACATTTTCTGACAGCTGAGCAGGACCCAGAGACGTCGAAACACCGGTCCCGCCATAGATCACCGAGGTTAAGCGACTGTAGACAATGCGAGTGGATGGGCGGGTGACCGTCTGGTAACCCTGCCATACATAGCAATGTGACTGTGCCGTGCTGTTGTTCCATGGCAAGGGTGTAAAATCTATTGACACACACTGCTCATTCTCGGAAGAGTCGATTTAGACCCTCGCCAAGTCGGTAGGCCATTGACAATGATATGGCCGAGGACCACTGTTTGGATTCCGCATAAATAAAGCAACCCTCTTCCGATTAGCCTTAGCAGCAAAAAGGAGACTTTAACTTAAAATACCTTTTTTTATTCCCTCGCTCACCCTTCTACAGTAAATTCTGTTTAACCAGATAATGAATAATGGTGACTTCTGTTTTCTGTGATTTAAATTCGCAGGCAAATTGTATTTTCTGTTTGTCAAAATATTTCCAGACGCGTTGGGCGGTCATTAACTTCTTTGTATATTTACTGCTTAATTATGGGAGAAACTCAATCATATTATTATACTATCTATCTAAATCATATTATTATAACTCAATATATTATACCAAACCAAACCAAACCAAATCTGGAATGCCACTCTATCTACAAAAAGAAAACATTCGACCACTGTGTACTACCAGTCATGACCTATGCATACGAAAACTATGCATGCGACACTTAAAACGGACATCATAAGAAAACTGCAAATTGCACAACGCTCAATGGACCGAAATATGCTGAGAATAACCAAGAGAGACCGTAAAAGAATAGAGTAGTATACACAAAAGTATACACAAAAGACTCATGTCATCCACAGAGTCAAATCCTTCAAATGGCCATGGGCAGGACACATGGCAAGAAGAATGGACAAAAGATGAACCACAAAAATTAGAAAAGACCTAGAAGAAGACCGAACCTGAGATGGGATCATGGTATTAGGAAATTAGCAGGGATAACTTGGGCCCGCATAGCCAACAATAAACAACAATGGGCCCAACTACAAAGAAAGTATGTGAAGGAGACTACACCATAATTGGATATGGTTGAATAAGATAAAAATGATGATAATGATATTTACTACATATTCCTAAAATTCAATATAATCTATATCAATGATGTTCAACACATTTACAACAGATTGTTGTTATAGCTAAATTTTAATGAAATACTAGCTAATACTTGTAAAATAATCTAAATTTCCATTAAATCATATTATAGTGCACACACATGCTATACCTATTGTTTCCTGTCCTTAAAATAATAATTTACAAAGCAAAAAATATATTTTTAACAACACTATTGTTCAACATTCGGAACCGTAGATCTGAAAATAAAGCTAGGTTGGGTTTTCCTGAACTATGACGTATGATTAAACGAAATACTCGTTTCTCAAAAGCAAGACACCTGATGGTACCGTTAAGGATGATTTATTGTTTCAAAAGAAATTAACTGAATTTAATATTTTTCCATGGTATATTAATATTGCGTTATTTACTGAATAGGTACTACATTGTGAAATATTAGTACTGTTAAATCCTCTGTAACATTGCGGAAAATCTATTGTAGTCCTTATAATGCGATAAAGCTTTTAATAATTTATAATAATATGCTCATCCCTTTTCTAAATTGAAATTAGGTACTACAAAACTTGGCATTCCTATTATAAATTTTAATAATTATACCTTAACATTGTCATTTTCTTATTAAGTACTATTCTATTTCCCATGTACATATATGACTTTTTGTCATTAAGGCTACTAAACAGCTGACAAAAAAATGTCTTGTTAGATTGAAAAGTTTAGTTCATATGTAAACCATAAAGCCGGAAGTGTCGAACAGTACTCAAAGGTAATAAGTACTATGATTAAACAAATGATATAACATAATTTAGTGACTGCATAGCGTCAATCATCTTTGTCTGAAGAAGAAAACATTCGACCAATGTGTACTACCAGTCATGACCTATGCATGCGAAGCCTGGACACTTAAAACGGCTATTATAAGAAAACTGCAGATCGCACAAGGCTCAATGGAACCAAATATGCTGGGAGTAACCAAGAAAGACCGTAAAAGAATAGAGTGGATACGACAAAAGACCGAGGTAATAGATGTCATCCACAGAATCAAATCCCTCAAGTGGTAATGAGCAGGAAGCAAGAAGGACGGACAACAGATGGGCCACAAAAATTACAGCATGATACCTACGAGGAATTAAGAGGCCTAGAAGAAGACCAAACCTGAGATGGGACCATGATATTAGGACATTAGCAGTGATAAATTGGACCTGCATAGACAACAATGGGCCCAACTACAAAGAGAGTATCCAAACATATGTGAGGGAGGCTACACCGTAATTGGAAATGGTTGAATAAGTTAAGAATGATGATGATGATAGCGTCATTTATTTGAATTAATGTTTTCTACTTCTAGTTGTAATAAATATAACATGATCAATTGATATATGTTACGGTTAAGGTCCGATGTCCGGTTAATGTCGACATTACCCGGTTAATCTCGAGAATAATACACAACAAAACACCCAAAAACATAACCTAATCCAAACATTAACATGTTAATGTCAACATTAACCGGACATCGGACTTTAACCGTAACATATACATGATTATAAAGCCCTGAAAGATTACTAAAAAACTGATGCCAGAATAACCTGTTACGCTAAGAATTACAGTTCATAGGTACCATGAAGTAAGGTCAAGTTGTACTCATAGGTGGTACCATGATAAAACTTTAAGTATATCTTTAACTTCAGTTTAAATAAACTTTTATTAAAAACGTACTTTTTCCCTACCTATACTACTGAATTTGCGAATGTCTGTCAAACAATCTCATGACAAAGAGTACTAAAAGACTAATGACCTATTACGCTAAGAATTTCTGTTCTTACGTACTATATGTAAAGGCCGAAAAGTTGGTACTCAGGGGTACCATTATCAAACATAATGTAAAATAGCTTAATGATTCTATAGATTGTTTTTTACATACAGTTACTCAATGTCTTTATCTATAGTTCTATAATAAATATAAATACTATATGGAAATTTTATGAGAAGTATTTGTGGAAGTATGTACTGCCTATATTCTTTTACTAAACAATGTCGTGATAAAGAGTACTAAAAGTGTTACACTATGATTTTCATACAGACTATAAAATCGGAAAATTTAATTGATTCTGAAAGATGGTACCATGGTCAAAAAATTATATTTATATATTTATATCATATATATGACCATATAGCTATACTCCATTGAAAAAGCTCGACGTTAAGTTTTAATAAATATATGCTCTATAGTAAATTTCTGAAAAGTACTACTAAATTTACCCACATTAGCTGTAGTAATCGTGTCGTGATAAAAAGTACTAAAAGTCTAAATGCCAAAATGACGTGTAAAGCTAAGAAATCCAGTTCATACTTACCATACAGCCGGAACATTCGAACGGCACTCAAAGTTAGTACCACGATCAAACAACAGTACTAAAATAGAACTATTACCGTGCGGCTACGGCGAGGCGAAATAATTAGAAAGCCAGTCCGGACGGACGATGCAACAACGAGCAATCCAAACCGCAAACAAAGGTACTGCCAGGCCAACAGGTCGTACCAAGTCAGACCGGAATAATAAAACGCGTGCGATCGGCCCGATGGCTCGGCTCGAACTGAACTGGCTATCCACGCCGGTGCGCGTCGACAGGTAGTACCCCTGCCCCGCGAGAGGTCTTTGCACCTGTAGTACCGTGACAGTGCTCTGATGGGCCGCTATTAGTCATAGTCGGAGCTCACCGGTTGTGACAAGTCGCTCGGAACAGCGCTGCCCGTTCATATAGTCCGGTCGTCGACAAATACGGTGGCTTTCTGTCGATAGTACCCGAAGATTATGTTGGTCGTTTCTTTTTAATTAATGTACATTAAGTCTCGAACATGACAGACACTATCAGAGATACATATTTATTTGTTTTCTTCTATTTAAATGTTTTCAAAGAGGTTGAATATGTAGATTTTTTTTGTTTACTATCAGAATTTGTTATTTTGGTCTATTTGATTAAAGTTTTTTGATCAGCCTATTGCAATCCATTGCTGGATGTTGGTTTTTCCCACTGTATTTTATTGATTTTTACTTTTGGCTTCTTTTATCCAGAAGAGTTCAGATAACCACAGCATAATTCAATACCAAAAATCTAATGTATTGTTGTGTTAATTAAAGAAGCTTATTATAGTTTGAAGGATTTATTTTCTGATATTCCGCTTTTATGTAAAAGCATATTTTAACTTCCAACTTAAAACGGAACTCCCTGGAAGACTCCATCCGTAACTTGGAATGGAAGTCTTCCAACGGTCTAAGACACTCGCAGAAGTTCCTCAGAACTTACGACCGAGAAAAATCAAAGATTTTCCTTGATTTAAGTAAAAACAATCTTCGGATTGTCTCGGGGTTTCTAACAGGACACTGCCTCCTCAACGAACACCTGGCCTCAACGAACAAACGGCGAACACCGAATGCAGTTTCTGAGATGGAAAGCTGGCCTCTGTGGAGTCATCTCAGATACTGGCTTTTGTCAAAGCCCTGAGACTGCATGATGAGTTATAAATCGTTGTAGCTCAAGAAAGGGAAACACACAATAGATCTGTAACCCTGACTAACTCTTTCCTAAGTCTGATTAACCCCTCTTTTTAACATTCAACATTCTAAAGCATGTTTTGCTTTTATAGTAAATTCTTAAACAGTCTGTTGTAAGCTCTTTCCAATGCGTTATTAGGGTTTCTAAACAGAGTTATTAGCCACGGTTCTAAGCCATAACCATCATCATCCAGTAGTACTGCACCAGGAAACTGTTGCATAGTTACACGTATATCGCAGTTCCTCCAAATTCTTGCGTCGTGTACAGAACCCGACCAACTAACATCAGCACTAGTAAACATTTCGATTGAGTTAGATGTTGCCTGCACATTTAAATTCGCAAATCCCTTTCTGTTGATGTATTCATTACCGTGTTGATTCGGTTTCAAAATCTAAACGGTGCGTGCAATGAATCACTCCAATAGCACTTGGAAACTGAAATTTTTCTTGCCACGCTTGCTGTGCTTCGTTTATTTTGGGTTGGGTCGACGGAAATTTGATCCATAAATGGGACTTTTCAACTATTTTGTTCATTACAAATGAAATTGTTTTTGAAACAGTCGACTGAGTGATTCCCAATTCTTCTGCTACAGTTGCTACACCCATCTGAAATCCAGGATTGGCCGTATATCGCAAGAAAACCTTCATTTTATGATTTGAAGGAAGAGCGACTCCTCTTCTTTCAAGATTTTCTCCCGAAAAGTACGTTGCCATCCAATTTACATTTTCTTCTTGAAATCTGTAAAGAGATTTAAAATCTCGCCAATTAGCTTTTCTTCGCACTTTGTATTGCTTCTGTGCATGTAAATTCATGAATTCTGCCATTTTATGACCAGCTTATTGCAAGGTGCATCTCCTACTAACGAGATGCAAAAATTTTGGAGCATATGCTTAACTAAGTAAGCAAAGCATACATATTATTCATAACAAGTTGAGCAAATACTTAAACGTGAGTAGATGCTCATGCTTCATCTAATACAAGTTTGAGCAAAACCTTTTACTTACATTTTTATTCATAAACTATATAGCATATGCTTCAAGTTTTGCAAGTAGAAGGTTTTGCTCATTTTTATTCATACGGGCCATTAAGTACCAATTTATTATTCCATCTTTTGTTACCTATATTATTCGAACAAAAAATTATTATTTTATCTATATAATATAGTATTTTACACTGAATTGCGATTTTCCCTAAATATTTTTGCTTAGCTTATTATAGGAAGTCGGGTTCTGAGCTCCACTGAAGCATTATTTAAAAAAAAAACAATCGAGATCGCCAGTTTATTGTTACCAACTTGTCATCTTCGCTCGTTTTTGTGTAGTCGTGGTTTCTTTTTTGAGTATTCAGCTCAAAACACAATTTATTACATAACATATGATGAAGCGAATATCAAGTTAGGTAGACAGGACATATATACCATCCTAGATCATCAATCATCATCATGATCATTTTCAGCTTATTCAACCATTTCCATTTATGGTGTAGCATCCCTCACATACTCTCTTTGTAGTTGGGCCCATTATTGGCTATGCAGGCCCAAGTTATCCCTGCTAATTTCCTAATATCATGGTCCCATCTCAGGTTCTAGGTCCTCTTTTAGGTCTCTTAATTCCTCGTGGATACCATGCTGTAATTTTTGTGGTCCATCTGTTGTCCGTTCTTCTTGCCAGGTGTCCTACCCATTGCCATTTAGTCTATTGTTCTATTTGAGGGATTTGACATATATTACCTGGGTCTTTTGTCGTATCCACTCTATTTTTCTCTATTCATCATATATCTATAGACCATTAATTACGTAAAGTAAGTACTGGATATGTGTCTATGAAAGGAATGCGGACAAAAAACATTTAAATAAACAGCAATATATTTTATACGTCGACTTGAGGAGTACGTCACCGCAAATCCCTTCGCCTACTCATTTTATTGACTACTTGCAAATTTGTCGAATTTTTATTGCTGGGACGCGTCGTCTAATTTTTTATGAAAAACATCGAGAGAATATCGTTTTCCCTCTCACGGATACCCCGTAGCTACAGGACGGATAGACGTACTGTAGATGTATTGACGCCATAATATTATCATTAGAAAATGTGTCTCCACCATCACGACACGCCATTCTCATACCTTTTTTCTTCTATATAGCACTTATGAAACATTCAATAGATTTATCCTTTCCTAGAACCTTGTTTGGTCCAAGGGCATTACAAATTGAACGTGCATTATGAATTTGGCGCTTGGATGATAGTGCCTGACCAAGGATAGATAGAGTAGCAGTATTAGTACATCGTTGATATGTTTAGGACAGTTTTTTTCTAGTTATTTATATTCATGCAAATGATCGGAAGTTGACAAGCTAGGTATGAACAGGCTGCGTGGTTGAGGTTCGATAATATGCGCAGTAGGTCAATCGTCAAAACTAAAAAATAAGCAAAGACGACCAACTGGTACTGAATTAGCTGTGGTATGACTATATGAATGACGTTGTTATGTTTTTATCACTCTGGGGCGTAAGTATAGTGACGGTACAGATCCGTCGACTCGATTATATGGAAGAAGAGGTCGCTCTATTGTTCTTGAGCTAGGAAAAACGGTGGTGGGACCATGGCGGAACACAATGGAAGAATTTCACGTTAAACTATTTCTTGCTACACTTTTTGTCTAGGCACCTTCCACTTCTTTTACATTATTCTGTTCTCTCTTCGACGCAAAATTCTTCATCTTGCTCTTTTAGCTCGTCAGCCTAAGCAGCGTTAACAGATTTAGGAATCTTTCCCCAGTATAGGGATTTTGGATATATGTGAAGAAACAAGGATTTTGATTTTAAATCCAAGGATTTTATTCTCAAAGAAAATGATACTTTTATACCTGGGGAGCCTATAAGTCCCTATACCTTTTTTATTTTTTCAGATAAAAAAACAAGATTGGTATGTTAATATGTGACATAAATTAAGATTGATTGACGTATTCAATGATTTTTGATCACTTCCTGTTTCACCGGAAATTACTAATTCTTTTGAATTTTAAGTGACACCTTAGGCATTTTTTGCTTTATTTGATAAAAATTACATTTTGAATAGAATGACATATAATATGTAAATTTTTGACATTTTCGCATATGGTTATTTTGAAATTGTAACACGCGGATAATAACGACAATTTGACTCGAAATACCAAGTATGTGGTACCAAATTATTCGTAAAAAAATGCTTTTTCCATATATGTTAATGAGCCACCCTTGTTTCATTTGAAAAAATTGAGATATGATTAAAAATAGGATTTGGGCATCTTTTAACCGACCAAGAAAAAGTAATAATAATCTAAGAAGTTAGATTATTATTACTTACTGGTTTTGGTAAATAGATAGTGATTTTTTTTGATTCTGGGTGTTTCTGAGAAAATATAACACATTAATTTGGCAACGTTGAGCCTAGCCTTACGTAGGCAGTTCCACCAACTCTCAGCCGCTCTATGAGAAAATGATTGATTCCCTTTTGTTCAATTTGTTGCTTAGAAATCGTTGTTGTTGTTGTATTGTGGCGCTTCAAAATAAAAATCTTGTTAGAATTTAATCTTCTATTTTTCTTCTTCTTCTTTTTTTAAATTGTTACGTTTTACAATGTATCAAAGCATTAAACGATTTGTATCCTGAGCCATTGAATGTTGATTCAAATTGTGAATATTCTTTACTTGAAATTAAAAATCTATTATTATTGCCGTAATGCCCAAAAGTGTAATGTTTAACTCTATTATTAATAAAGACCATTTCATAATTATTATTAATAAATTATAAATAGACTTTGTAATCTAATGCCTAATATTTATTTTATATAATAAAAAAAGTAAACTCTATTTTATTATTAAATCCATAGAGATGATAAGTACCTACGAGTATGTACATTATTCTCTTATAAAAACTAATAATACTCTTTACAAAACTTTTATTTAAAAAAAATATTACTCAAAAGGTGGTCAGCCCAAGGGATAGAAGATAATGAAAAACAAACGATCTAGCTAGAAAACGAGCGAACACACCACTGACCGGATCAGAATCGTTCTGCTTCCCAAGTGGAAACCAACTTAAAGCAGAACTCAAAAACCTGGAAGACTCCATCAGAAACCTGGAATGGGAATCCTCCAAAGGTCTAAGACCTTCGAAGAAATTTTTTAAGACTTACGACCGCGAAAAATCAAAGATTTTTCTTCGTTTAAGTAAGAACAATCTTCGGATTGTCACGCATTTTTTAACACAACACTATCTCCTTAATAAACACCCCAGTAGATTGAAGCTAAGAAACAACGGCGCATTCAGATTCTGTGAAGAAAGTTGAGAAACACCAGAACACCTCATCACTGATGCGCCGAGATGACAACCATTCATGTCAGAAACGTTGGTACGATATGGATGATATCGGAGATGGAGAACTATATATATATATATATATATATATATATATATATATATATATATATATATATATATATATATATATATATATATATATATATATATATATATATAAACAGGATTTGGTTTAAGTATTTAATACTCATTTCCAACTACAGCCTATTGCTGCCTTCCCGTTACCCTACGCCACACATCTCGATTTAGAGCGTCATCAGCTTCTAGGTTACGAGCTTCCATTGCTTACGTAACCGTTCCGTTCCAGGATTTTCTAGGTCTACCTCTCTTTCTTCTGCCCTGGGAAGCCCATTAAAAAACTCTTTTTGGCCACCTGTTCTCCGGCATACGCAGAACATGTCCAAACCATTTTAAGCTGGATTTTTCGGTTCGATCAGTACTGTCTCCTCCGATACATTCATAATACGCCTAACCTCGATGTTTTTTTTCCATCCTAGATATACCTGCACTTCTTCTAAGGTAGTCCATTTTAACAACTTGGATTTTGCGCTTCGGGTCTGCACTCAGAGTCCATAGCTCTGAACCATAGCAAGAACTGACTCCACCAATGTTCTTCCAAGTCTCTTTTTAGTTGTTGCAGACAAGTTTCGGTCCCACCAGAGGCTGTTAAGACATCCAATAACTTGTTTGCTCTTCTGAATTCGGATTTGTATTTCTACTTTGCCCAAACCCTCGTTGTTGATAGTAGAACCCAGGTATTTAAATTTGTCTACTTGTTGAATTTGGACGTTATCATTAAAGAAGACTTCAAAACAAGCGTTGGAATTGACAGTTAAGTATTCGGTCTTCTTTAGACTAACCTGCAGTCCCCATTTGTTGTATTCTTGATAAAGCCTCTTAGTCATGAACTCTAGATCGTATGAGTCCTGTGCAATCACGACCTGATCGTCTGCAAAGCTCAGGGTAAATAGTGTGTTGTCCTCAATGGATATTCCCATACCTTGACATTTCGTCTTCCATTCCCTAAGGGCTACTTCGACGTAAGCGTTGAAGATCAGAGGAGCTAAGCTGCATCCTTGTCGCGACCCTTTTGTGGTGTTAATTGGATTAGATAGCCTATGTCCTATCTTAACGTACGATTCATTTTCTTTATATAGCTCTTTTATTATCTTAAGCAAAGGTCTATCCACTTCTAAGATATTCAAGACTTCTCATATCTTGCTGCGGGGAATAGAGTCTTACGCTTTCTCCAAATCAATAAATGCTAGATGGACTTCTTGATCTACTGCTATCTTCTTTTCCATCACCTGCTGCAGGAAAAAAAGTTATCTGTGCAAGATTTCCCCGGTGCGAATCCGCTTTGGTCTTCCGAGATTTTGTCACCAATACTGTCCCTGAGCCTACCCTGTAGCACCTTTCCAAAAAGTCTGCTGACCGAACTGTTGCTTAGGCCTCTATAACAAG